AGGATATCAATGACAACCCACCAGTATTCCCCACAGATATGCTTGATCTGACCGTAGAAGAGAATATAGGAGATGGATCTAAAATACTGCAGCTGACAGCCATGGATGCTGATGAGGTAGGAGCATGGTCTTATATTTAAATATGTGTATTAAAAATGCTATGCTGGAAATACATGTTTTTACCTGTTTCCTTATTCACTTTGTGAGAGCTTGGCTTTGGGAGTCATTATGGTCATGCTTTAAATTGCGTTTGGCCCGTTCACAAAACTGTATGCAGTATCACAGTCACGCCCAGGCAAACACAGGGGAGCAAGTGAGACAAATACTCTACAGCTTGAAGGCTGCTTACTGGTTTGCATATAACGAGTTAATGTTTTCCTAACATCTCTTAATGAGTGGGTCCGCTAACGGCAAAGACGCCCCTCATTTTGGTTTTAGATGGTCTTGTTGTTATCAGTCTCATCATACACCGTGCCCAATGACTGGGCGAAGGTGCTGGACCGCCCAGCTTGTGCTAAAGATTTATTGACGTTCAGTTTAAGACCACAGCTTGAGATCTAAACTAACTTTGAAGCCGAGATGTTGTAGCTGAGCCCAGTTTCAAGGCGTGCAATAAAATTCATGTGAGATGAGCCTTGGAGAACAAGGAAACTTTGAGTAATGCCTGCTTGCCCTTTGCATAGAACTACTTGATATCGATATTACCCTTTCCTAAAGAAGGCTTTATTTCACCAAAAAGAGGGGAAAAGAAATAATGCTGGAATATGTGCTCTGTACATGAACTGATTTGCAAAATTGTTTTGCCCGCTTAGATTAATTACTGTGAGGACGCTGCAACTAAGGAGTTACTAAGAAACTAGCAAAAGCCTCTGAGCAACTGATGTTAAACAGTTGGCTTAGTGAGGGATGTTGCAGTCTTGTATGTGTCAGGCAAACATACCCACATATAAATTGATGTATTCATTTCGTTTGGAAAGTAGGTTACGAGAACGTTAATCATGTTGTTTCATTCACTTGAGCTGATTCTTTCCTTTGGAGAAAGGCCTAGAAAGTCAATGCGAACATGCAAAGAAGTTTGTGTTGACATTAAAATATAGGGTTACACTTGACAACAGTGAGGAATTCTTGCATTCAAATAATAAGGTAATTCATCCCCCTCAAGAGAATTTTATTTCTGGCCTTTTTTTGTGTTAGCTTGGTTAGTTGTCCTGTGATTGCTAATTGATGTACTTAATCTTAGTACTACATGAGGAACGACTGGAAGACCCTCAGGAATGGTATGAATGTGATTATGAACTTGTTCAGGATTTTGGAAAGGTGCATATCTGTAACAAAAAAATTGTAGCTGTTTGTCTTCAGTTTAGGAAGCAGTAAATATCGAACTACCACTCTCTGCTGTGATATGGCAAATGGATATCTAAGATCTTAGCAATATATTATGCCCCAGCCTCTCTATGACCATTTCTGAACTGCACCAACTAAGTTATCCATTCTGAAGCACTCCAACCAGTGGGAACTGGTTTACCTTAGACAGAAATCAGCCAATCTTTTTATAAAAAGGGATGATTTCATTTTCCCTACCAGAAAACTTATAACTCAAACCCTTTGCAAAGACTCCAAGGTTTTTTAGCAATGTGCAGTTTAGGGTTGACATACTTGCCTTCCCCACCCCCCGCTCCCCAATCCTCTTTGAAGTTGAGGGCACAGTGAACGCTCCTTGTTTTTCAGATAATATTTCTGCAACTTTACATTTTTCTGGCTTCTTTCTTTGCACATGCAAGCCCTATATGCAGCTTGGTAAGACGGCGTGCTGCCTTTGCTACATGCCGAGGTGCTTTCAGAATCAAAGTTATAGCTTCAAAAGGGTAAGTGATGGGACCTCTAAAACTCCCGGCTGAGTTGTGTACAGGAACCCCTCTTACAAATATTTTTAAATGGTAGCATGAAGGCAGCGAATTTCAAACCCTTGGCTGTTGTAATAAGGATATTGTAGGGATCTGAGAAAAGATGGAGAGACATTCTCTAGGTGCTAAGTGGTACCAAAGGCTTTAGCAATTAAAACAGCTTCTAGCACTTTGCAATTTTCTGAAGTCAGTTGTTGACGAGAAATTTTTCTATAGCTTTTGAATAGGTTTTACATATCTGTATTTTGTTTTGCTTCTCACCTAACTCATGGAAAGCTACTGATTGGATTAAACCAGTATCATGCGTGGCTGTGCGGCTTTAGCTGCGCACTATGAGGAGGGCGCTGGCTAGGCAAACCAGCGGTGAAGAGCACGGCCACCTCTGAAACCTTAAATTCCCATCAGATGTTTTTGCCGAGCTGCACAATCGCAGGAAAGCCCGTGACATCCCCAAGGTACACCTGGGCACACAGATGCCACTGTATGTAGCTCTTCGGGGCTGGGCACCTGCAGAAGCTTATTTTCTTTCTAAATTTTATTTTATCAGTGAAACAACACTCCGGAGAAAAAGTTTGGCGTGAGGCACTCTCATGAAGTCGGGTGACTAGTGCTTGTCTCTCATCTCACAGATACAAGCGGGTGTTTATTGCTGTTAACTTGCTTTTATAGGGAAGAGTGTTTGAAACAGCTATAGGATTTCTTTCTCCCTGCTCTCTTTGATCTGTTGTTCACTGCAGAGGTGCCACCTGCAAAACCCAAGCTCTGGCCTGGCACCGGAGGAAGGCACGATAATATCTGCTCGCCCACCAAAATGCATTGCTGGGCATAGTCAGCACACAGGGTGTAGGTACATGTATGCAATGATGGAGGTTACCAAACCTTCCGTGCCCTTCAGCCTGTCTTGGAAAAAGAAGGATGTGACCCCAGCATCTTAGGTCTCTTGAGTTTTCCCTTAAATACCAACGTCAGTCTGCTAAGAAGAAAAATGTATGGCTGAGTACTGGCTTTTGGGGGAAACGTTGCCCAAGCTGGTGCACTTGCACCCCTCGGACCACCCTCTGGCCACAGCATCACGCCGCGCAGCCAGCCCCAGGGGGTGGCTGAGAACAGACCCCAGGTGTCATCCCTTCTTCTGGGAAACCTCAGGGCTCCTCGGAGCTAAGGCCTGTAAGGTGGATTGATTCTCTTGCTAATAATCAATGATGGGGGCTGGATGCAGGTGACTTCTTCTCAGTGTTTGTGATGTAGGGCTGAGGCAAAATACACTGTGTCAGTGTTTTTTGAATGGAAGTTTCCATATTTTATTCCTAAGTTTTAATTTCAACTGTTAAGGGGAAAAAAAAAAGTTATCATTTTTCTATGTAGAATTACTTTTCCTTAATTTTTCTTTTAACGAAAATGCTCCAAGTCCATATGAATCTTTTTTTCCAAGGATGAATGAGATACTTTGACCCAAAAGCAAATGCTTTTGACTTCCAGCACAACCCAAGAGATCAGAACTGTGATTTTAATGACACATGATTTGTCGCTTTGGGGCTGTTTATTTATAGGGATAAATGCATTTCCATGCAGACACTGGAGCTTTTGAGGGGCTGCTGCAGGCACAGCTCCCTCGAGTTTCTCCCAGCTGGGAGCTGCAGCTCTTGACATGGGTGCTGGCTGGTGGAGCTGTCGCGTGGCCACCCCTGGTCCTCCCTCCTCACAGAGAGAGTCCAGAGGAGGGCTACAAAGATGATGAGGGGACTGAAGCATCTCCCCTATGAGGAAAGGCTGAGGGTCTGGGCTTATTTGCCTTGAAGAAGAGAAGACTGAGAGGGGATCTCATAAATACCTACAAATATCTTAAGGGTGGATGTCATGAGGACGGAACCAGACTCTTCTCAGTGGTGCTCAGTGACAGGACAAGGGGCAATGAGCACAAACTGAAGTATAAGAGGTTTCAGTTGAACGTGAGGAAGAATTTCTTTACTTTGAGGGTGACCGAGCCCTGGCACAGGCTGCCCAGGGGGGCTGTGGAGTCTCCTTCTCTGGAGATATTCAAACCCTGCCTGGACGAAGTCCTGTGCCCCCTGCTCTGTGTGAGCCTGCTTGAGCAGGGGGGTTGGACTGGGTGATCTCCCAAGGTCCCTTCCAACCCTTGCCAATCTGATTCTGTGATCCCTCCCTCTCCTCCTGCCTCTGTCCCACCTCCAGAGAGTAGGAAAGGCAGAGCTGACCCCTGGCAGGGATTTAATTTAACCTTTGAACATAAAGCAAGAAGAATAAACACTGATACCTGTTAAGAGAGAAGGCGTTACACTACTTGGTGATACTGGCTTGAGATTAAAACAGGTATCAGAGCTTTATGGTATTGAATGGATGCGATCCTTTTATGAACAGCGGGGCAAAAAGTGTCTGGGCAATCTCGTCATTTCACGTCTCATAAATAAAAACTGTGTGCGTATGCGTCTTTACTGGGAGACTGAAGCAGGGACTGGGCAGGAAGGCTGTTTATTAAAGGAAACTGTTCTGAAAAATATTCGCCAAGTGCAGTTACTGGAACGATTCTTGTTTTACTGAAAATTATGATGTGGTTTTCCTGGCAAATAACCTGATTTGACCACTTCTGTTTTTACTTAGGGAGCCAATGCCCTCGTCACATACACTATTATCAGCGGTGCGGATGATAGCTTCCACATTGACCCCGAGTCAGGAGACCTGATAGCCACAAAGCGCCTGGACCGGGAGCGCCGCTCCAAGTACTCCTTGCTGGTTCGTGCCGATGACGGCCTGCAGTCCTCAGACATGAGAATAAACATCACGGTTAGCGATGTTAATGACCATATCCCCAAATTCTCCAAGCCGGTCTATTCTTTCGACATCCCGGAAGATGCCACTCCAGGTAAATAGGAAATGACCCTAGAATTGACTGAGTTTTTTCATTTTCCCAATCCAAAGGGACTCGAGGGGGAGGGGGTAGCAGACCTGTTGACTTGGCCAGGAGGCAGAAGATGCTGAAAGCATCTATCAGATGGGGGGGAGAAACAGAGGGAATCACATCATGCTGAAAGTCGGCTTGCTAGCAAATCTGTATCACTAGCGAGGTGAAATTTCTTTTCAAGGGGAAATAGAGGAATCATTGCCGCTTAAATGAATCCTAGATGCAGACTAGGAATTATGCCTGTATCCCAGTGGAAGCCTCTGAGAGTGAGAATACTTAGCCAACAGAAAAGTAGGAGGAGGAACAACTTGCAGAATACAAACAGTATAACCTATCATGAAAAGATGTAACGGTGATGCTAGTATTGATTTAGTGAGCTATCTTTAATCAATATGACTTAGAGTACTTAATTCACCAAATGTAGGATTGCAAAATGGGTGACCATTGGGCAGCCAGCAATACGCTGTTTCCTTAATCATGTCCCCTACGTGTGCTCAGTTACCAACCATAACATCGTATTTCCTTGATCTTATCTTCATCTCCTCTTTTTGACAAGGTTTTTGTAGAAAATCAAACCTTTAGATAACTCTTTCTGGTTCCAAAACATGTTCGCTCACCTCTTGAGTCTTTTTCTTCTTTTAAAGTTTATTTCCTATGCAAGAATGTTTTGATATTTCAAAGTTAGGCCATAAGCTAGAAACTATTTAGACCAAAAAAAAAAAAAAAAAGTTTTCAAAAGCTGTGCTATGTTATACATCTCCAGATGAGAAATTAATATTTCTGGCAATAAATAGTTCCTAGTATTTTATGCAGAGTGCTAGCATAAAAGCAGTATCTGCTGGTATTGGTAACGGAAGCATCTTAGAAACTTGCTCTAAAACAGGAATAAACAAAGGAGAAGTAGACATGAAACAAGAAGTAAACAAGAAGACATGGTGGTGGCTTTCAAGCTTTTATTAGGGCTTTCGCTTACAAGCGTGGGAGGCTCAGCTTGGGCCAGCCAAGTTTACCCCCATGCCTCCAACTTTTGCACTCTGTCCCACAGTCGCAGTCCCAAACTTCAGTGGTGTTTTGCATTAAAGGATTACAGTGCAGTCAGCTGTGCCGCGGGAATCTGATCTGGAAGCAATGGAGACGTCCGTGCAGCGCGGGGCGGTTCGGTTGCTGATCCCCAGCTTCTCTCTTGTCGCTCAGAGCCCTTGAGGCTCTGTCTGGTTTAGCAGGGATAACCCTGGAAATGGCGAGCATAATTCTCTCCACGTTAAGATGAGACTTCTCTCTTTAATCATTTATAGGGTGTACATTTGAGCCTTATACCCGGCTCAGCGGGGACAGATGCCGAAGGAAGAACAGGCTGGTTTTATACCTGAAGTGCTGCAGCTTCTCCCATTCCGTGCTCCAGCAGCCCCGGCGCAGCTGGCCAGCTGGTCCGGAGGGGAAGCTCTGCGAGGTTTTGCCCTTTGGGGCTCCACTCTCTATCCCAGAGCGTAACCCCAGAGAGTAAACCCCGTTCCCCTTGCGGTCTGGCAGCTGCAGTTGGGAATTGTCCCTTCCCTGGGCCTCAGCGAGGGTCCCTGCTCAGCCCTGTGCTGCAAACCCACGGGAGGGCTGATAATCCCATCCAGTTTTGCCCTCTTCGCCAATTAACGTACAATCAGAAAGGTCAAAGCGTGAGGTAATCAAATGGGCGTAAGAGGTACCAGCGTATCCAGCTGGATCAGAGGAAGCTGTGGCACCATGATTCGTTCTGGGGATAAGCAGTTTTCCTTGTCGCGTAGCTCGGAAGTGGTTAACTGTGCTGGGACGCGGGTCAGTCATCTGCTTCCATGGAAAAGAAACGCAGTGATTTACTTTCTTGGAAATGAGCTGATCTTAGTTATAATTAGTGTTCGGAATACTAAAAAGTGACGTTAATTTCCAAACCTTAGTAAGATAGGTCAGTCACGCGGAGGCAGCTATGCAGAAATGAAAACAATGGCACAAATTCACAAGGAGTTGAATTTCGGAAAACAGCGAAGAACGGACCCCTCTAAGGTTTCTGGTTTTCTAACCACAGTTACCCTGCAAAGGCACTTTTTCAAAAAGTAGAGCCGGGATATTCAGTATGTACTGACATTTTGGTTTCTGCATTTAGAAAGAAATATCTAGAAGGTTTCAGAACTCGTATTTGTCTGCGGGGAAGAGAGGGCCTTTTGAGTCGTAGAAAGAAAATACCTAGCAGGAGAAAAGGCATTTTTGCCCCAGTTGATATCTAATCTGGACAAGTTCCCATTTAAAGATAAAGCCAAATATTCCTGGCCATTTCTTGGGGTGGTTTTTTTTTTTTAGTAGCCCTTTAAAATACATAGAATCATAGAATGTTTTGGGTTGGAAGGGACCCCTAGAGATCATACTGAATACTGTTCCTTTCACCGTTGAAAAACCTTTCATAGTAATTAGTTATACAAGATGGAGTCTTGAATCTCTACTGGAGGATCTCTCTCAGTCTACAGAGCTGCTTGATGATGAGCCGGCTCTGAGCACACCGGTGAGCTGCCGTTGGCAGGTGACTGATTCTGCTGTCCTGTCGTGCTGTGCAGGTTCCTTAGTGGCAGCCATTCTGGCCACTGACGACGACTCCGGCGTCAACGGGGAAATCACCTACACCGTAAGTGAAGATGACGAAGAAGGTATCTTCTTCCTGAACCCCGTTACCGGAGTCTTCAACCTGACTCGCGCGCTGGACTACGAAGCACAGCAGTATTACATTCTTACCGTTCGTGCGGAAGATGGGGGAGGCCAATTTACTACCATCAGAGTGTACTTCAATATATTGGACATCAACGATAACCCGCCAGTGTTCAGCATGACCTCATACAGCACGTCTTTGATGGAGAACCTCTCTCCAGGATCCGCTATTCTCAACTTCAGCGTCACCGATGCAGATGATGGTAGGCATTTCCTCATACTCTGTACCTCTGATGACGGTAAATACCTATTTCACCTCAGCAATGTATTAGAAGCCCCAGTAGAAAGGCCAAATTAGGGCTGTCTTTAGGATGCCATCGTACGCTTAAATTCACTGCGTGCTCTGTAAATAGAAGTTATTTTTCTCATATTTCACATTAGGTTTAAGTGGGTGGTTTCTTCCATATTTTTCTGTGCGCTAAATTAAAAATACAGTCAAATATTGCTTTTAACTGCTGTTGTGGAAACAAATTGCTGAGCTGTATTTTACGTAGAGCATGTTACAGTGGTTGAATACTGTGATTTCTCCCCTGGTGCTTATGTTGCACATTTGAATTAGATCTAAGTGTTCTTTCAGATTGTTGGTTTTTTTTTTTTTTTTCCTCAAAGTTTATACTGTGTTCTAAATAAGGTTCTGGCAATATGAGACGTCACCTGCAATCATCTTAAACGTACCATAACTTTTAAGTGTGTCATGAAGAGAATACCAACCTACAGGGTATTAATAGAGGAGGTTAAAAAAAAAAAATTATTAACAAAGATCATGGGAAAATTTCTCATTAAAATAAGCTTTAATCTTGGGATTATTTATGGCATCTAGAGGGTGTTAATGTGTTGGAATGTAAAAGATACAATCTTTATAGCTGGCTTAACCATTTTGCCATACAGTTTATGTCTAAGCAAGAATAATTATAGAATATGGCTATAAAATACATAAAAATCATTCCATAGCATACTGCATTTTCTTAAGTGTCCACAGACATTAGTCAGTGTGACTTAATACAGAATTATTCATAACACTTGTGCTGACTTTACAGGTGAGGGTTAGTTTTGTGACATGTTAAGCAACCTCGTCTCCTCTTGGCTTGACACCGGCTCAGCAAAGCCCATAGAAATGCCTTACGCTGAAACGTGCGCTTCAAGCGCCAAAGCACCTACGTGCTTCGAGGAGTCCCAGTTTATGCACATAAAATGACTGAGCTGATCAAGTTTATTCAGTAAAACAGTTTTTTCCTCAGGAAATGCTGAGTTGTTGAACTCAAACATTTTTGTGGGAACATAAATTTCGTGCTGATGGATAGAACTTTCCATGGTAAAAATTGTGCAACTGCTTTTGAGATCAAACTGAGAAAGCGAGCGAGAAGAGATTCCGTAAGATAAGCCAACAAGTCAGAAATTATAACTTGGTGATATCGGCTATTCTTGCATGGATCTCTCTTTCACCACTCTTGTTAAAATTTTTATTTTATGTAAACTAAATAACTATGGAGGAGGAATCTGTGCTTGCATCATGCATATCCAAGGAAGCGATTGTACCTTCAGACCTGTAGCTAAATGGGTTTGTGTCTAATCTATCTCCTCTTTTATTCCTTATTTTCCTGTTAGGAGTACAATGCTTGGTTTCAAATCTTTTTGGAAGTTAATTTCACTTAGCCATTATGGGTCTGTTTTCCTTTTCTCTCACACCTCATACATTCATTTCCATCTGCGCGCGGCGGACGTGAACTATATCATAGCACTGACGTATCATTTTACATTCATCATGCACTCAATTATCAAGGAAGCAAATGAGTATGTGAGGAGCAATGCAATGAAAAGTCAGATATCCTGCCTTTTATATTTTTCTGGCACGCTTACTTTTCTAACAGGCTGGATTTAAAATTATTAGGACAGAAGTTTCATTCCAAGAGCGTGCCAGGTGGAGTTCCCCCATAGGACTGTAATTTCAGCAATTATTATGATCTATTGGTGTTTCTCTTTCAAGCCCAAACTTGTTATCCAGTGTCATCTTATATTTAGAGTACAGAAATAGCTAATACTACACTCCTCTGCGTGTGGCTCACAGGTAATGCGCTCCATGCACACAAATATAATTTCGTTGATTATTTATATTATATGGTCTCAGAGTTTGAAGGAGCTCTGAAAAGACATTGTTTTACAACGAGGTGTGCCTGTTGTTTTAGGATAAACGCTGATAAAAGACAAAAACCTGGTGATAGTGAAACTGTTCCCATTTTTATTTTCTTGCTCAACACACTCCTTGGGAAACAGTAGCTGTTTTTCTCGCCTCGGACAGTTTCACATACAGATGCATAGTAAATATCAGCCACAGCTCTTGGTTATTTACAGAGCAATAAGGAACCCAGTTTCCTTAAACACATTTATTTTAAGATTCAGATTTTAATTTTTTCCACATCAAATGAACAGGAAAAAGCACATGCTTGTCTATTTTTTTAGAAAGTATGGCAAGATATTCCTCCAGGCAAAAAACGGTGGGATTTCCCAGTTATGCTCTACAGGTATTTACAGAAGGGGGGGACAAGTAGGATATTTTTTCTATCTCATTAGTAAATAAATACAAATAGCAACAAGACCCTTTCAAAAGAACATCATCATGAAATTGATGCCTCCATGTCTGAGCTCTCACTCAGAGTTTTATCAGATTAAATAAACCCAAAGCTCAGCAAAAAGGATGCCCCTGCGTTCTCCCTAAGAAAAGCCCAGCTCCAAACCTAGGGAGAAGGGACGGATGAGGCGCACAACTCCAGTTTGGCAAGCTGTGTTTAAAAAAGAATAGTTCATGAAGTGGCAGTCCTGGCTCCACCGATATTGAGGCAACTCTCCTCCTGCTTCACAGTTTAATCTATACAAGCATTAGCAGCATCGAAACCTTATGAGAATATAAGACAAGGGATGAAAAGGTACATGGAGGTGAGATAAAGAAGAACAAGAAGTAAATTTTCTAGGACCAAACACCACCATAGAAAATGCTGGGGGGGAAAAAAAAATTATTTTTAACGAAATTTTTTTCTGTAAGGTCTAATTCCTATCCATTTCCAAAGTCAATTGACAAAAATCTTGAATTGCCAGAAAGTATTTTACTGAAATCATAAGCCTTTCGTCCACATAATTAGTCATTTGAAAATACAGATGAACAAAAAATAGACTAGCTTTAAACTCTCACAGTGCTTCACTTGATCAAAGTCATGTAGAAACACTAATATCTGGCATATAAATGTATTAATTTCTTTAATTGCATTACAATATTTTGTCTTTCATGTTTGGTTCTATTTATTTTATAATTAGAAGAGAGAGGGGAAAATGCCAATTAGGGTAGCTGCTGGGGGAAAGGCAAGCAAGAGTAGAGTTCCCAAGTCTGAGCATAATCAACAGCAGAGATTAATAAATCTAATGCAGGAATAATTTTGTTATCAAAGCAATTCAGTTGGGAGGGAGAGGAGCTTCTGAGTAAAAAGGACAAAACGCACAGCAAAGTAATCAGCTACTTCAGCAGATGGCTTGGTTTCTTTGCATGAAAAAGTGAGTTTGAGGGGTAAATTAGTAGCAAACAGTCTATTAACCTACTAATCTGAAATCACAGTCTTCATGACCCAAACCAAGAAAACAAAATTTTCAAAATTAATTGAAATAGGAATAAGATAGAGATATGTATATACACGACACACAGATGTATATAAATGAGAGAATACTCATTTCAATTAGGTGTTCCCCAAAATGAGTTATTCCAAGTGAATTCTGGAGCTGAAGAGGTAGCATAAATTTATTCCCTGTGTGGCATGTTTAAGGTCATTTCACAGCCTTGTCAAGATTCAGAATGCATTTCCCTTACCAGAATTACAAATCTCTCCCTTGACCATAATTGCTGGTTATGTTTCGATCATAAGATGAGGGCTGTTCATCTGATATTTTGGAATACCATGCCGTATATGGGAAGCATACCTCTCCCCAGTATTCACTCTTGGCTTGCTCCAGCTAAGCTTGGGAGTTTCTGGTTGTGGCTTTTTTTAATTGGGTGGAAGAATTCATGAACTAATCGCATTAATAATAAACTTGCTTAGTTGAACTGGGGAGAACGGAAGAAAACAGCTGTTCAGTGGAGGAGCAGAACTATTGAGTCTTGGTTTCAGAAGGAAAACTCTTCAAAACCTTTATCCCTAGGGTAGATGGGGTCCCTCTGCGGCTGCCCCAATTAACATCCTTCCCTCTCTCTCTTCAACTCTTGTCAGAAAATAATTATTTCAAAGGCTTCTGCTCCTCTGTGAAACTTGGCTGAAATTAGCTGATGGATTCAAAAATGGTGATGAGGAGGCTGAACAGGCAGCACAGTCGTACAGCCCTCACTCGCATAAGAAATGAGGCCAGAAACACTTATATCTAGGTCAGTGGGATGAAGTCATGTTCTCTACCTTTCTTCTCCCCGCCCCACCAGGCTCCAACTCGCAGCTGTCCTTCAGCATCGCGTCCGGGGACAGCGCGGGGCAGTTCGGCATCGACAACAGCGGGGTGCTGAGCATCAGGCAGCCTTTGGACCGGGAAAGCCAATCTTTCTACAGCCTCGTCGTGCAAGTCCATGACATGGCCCCTCTCCCGGCCTCCAGGTACACCAGCACAGCCCAAGTTTCAATCATTCTGCTGGATGTGAACGACAGCCCTCCAAGCTTTATCTCCCCGAAGCTGACCTACGTGCCGGAAAACACGCCAATCGACACGGTTGTGTTCAAAGCACAGGCGACCGATCCCGACAGCGGTCCGAACAGCTACATCGAATACAGTCTGCTCCGGCCTCTGGGAAACAAATTCAGCATCGGCACTATTGATGGTGAAGTGAGGCTTACTGGGGAGCTTGACAGAGAAGCTGTGTCCAACTACACCTTGACTGTGGTAGCCACAGACAAGGGCCAGCCATCCCTTTCTTCATCTACAGATGTGGTGGTTATAGTCCTGGACATTAATGACAATAACCCACTTTTTGCCCAAAAGCTTTATAAAGTAGAGGTGGGCGAAAACACTTTGACGGGGACGGATTTAATTCAGGTGCTTGCTACGGATGGAGATGAAGGTACAAATGGGCAGGTCCGCTATGCTATCGTGAGCGGAGATGCCAATAATGAGTTCCGTATCGACTCTGTGACAGGGGTGATAACAGTTGCCAAGCCTTTGGACAGAGAGAAAAAGCCCTCCTATACATTGACTGTTCAGTCAGCCGACCGCGGGAGCAGCCCAAGGACCGATACCACAACAGTCAATATTATTCTGAAGGATGTCAATGATTATATTCCCACATTTGAACTTTCTCCCTACTCTGTGAACGTCCCTGAGAATTTAGAGACGCTTCCGAAAGTTATTCTTCAGGTGAGTACATTCAGCAAATGAATATGTGTCTTCTACAATTATTAGCATGCCTCAGTATATGGCGTTAATGTATGGTGTCTTTCTTCCAAAATGAGAAAGCTGCCTGTTGGCTGTAATCTAACATGCAGTGGTTGGTGGCTTGTCTTCCTTCTTGTTTGTTTGGGTGGGGTTTTTTGCTTGTTTTTTACCAAAAGTTTATATTATGCTTTGGAGTCTTGTTTATGTTTTCCCTACCTATCTTCCCACCTACACTGGGGCTCTAAGAATTTGCTCTCTCATCTCAATCTCAACTTTCATGCAACAAATCTCTCAGTCTGATCATTGCCTACATCCTTACATGGGATGAGGCTGTGGTGCCAAACACTGAAAGAGCACTAAATGAATTCAGCCAGCAGGGCACACAGTACTTGCTTGAACACGGAGCTCAGTCTGCGCCAGATCATCTGTGGTTTTCACTGAGCCCCAACACTGGCTTTACTGTATTTATGCTTGAGAAAAATAAGTAATCAACTATTTAATATTTTCAAACTATGCTTTCAGGTCCATCACCACCGTCTTAAGTCATTTTTACAACTACAGCTAATTTATACTAGCTCCTACTAGCATAATACTAGCTACTTAAGCATTGATTCAATCCATTAATTTGGATTACTGTCACAGAGAATATTTCCTCTGTCCCAATAAAATTTTACAGTTCTTGATATTTCTTCCCACATGGTTGCATTGCTTTTGTAGGTCGTAGCAAGGGACGATGATCAAGGCCTAAACAGCAAGCTTACTTACGTTCTGGTGGCTGGGAATGAAGAAGGAGCCTTTACTCTCTCGGCCAGTGGAGAGCTGCGCTTGGTGCAGAGCCTGGACCGGGAGGCAAAGGAGCAGTACGTGCTACTGATCACAGCTGCGGATGCAGGTAAAGCAAATGGGCAGTAGCTTCTGTCACTTTAAAACATTGCATTCTGGATAGAAAAGAAATGTTTTCATGAGCGTCTGAAGCTTCAGTGGATGGAGATTGGTACCCAAGCTTCAGTTCCAATCTCTGTGGGGAGAGCTGGGCTTACCTGATGTCGAAGGGAGTTTGGTTTTTGGAAATCAGGACTTTTTCCTTATGTCTAGTCCTGCGATATTAGTAGGACTCACTACAGATTTAGGTAGGCTGATTTTTGTCCTGCAGTAGCAAGCAGTCCTACCTAGGTCACAAGAGCCTCATGCATGGTAATGAAAAGACACTATAAATGGCAATAAAACCCAATATAATGTTGTCATCAGAAATGTGCGGACAGGTCAAATCAATGGCCAGAGAACAGCTATGGACTACTCAGATAATCTTACTGAAATCTTACCCCTGAAAAGTAATGGCAATTTACATTTCAACATTTTAGTTTTCTACTTTGCTCAGCATCCAATCATATGTTTGCTCCAGAATCCCAAATGTACTCACGTTCCCACAGTTTAAAACAGGATGTGAATTCTTGTTATGAAGATTACTTACACTTTCACTTGAGGTGTCCGAGCACAAAATTTTGGTTTCAGATTTTGGTATGAAGATTAGTAACAGAGACACCCTGCATCATATTCTGGACCGACCTCCAGTCCCCCACAGTCTGATGGATTTAATTTACTGCAGAATTGGTTTTACTTTCTAATAATAAAAATAGAAGCAAACCCAACATGTTGACAAGTGGATACAATCGTGTTTTCTGCCATATTGTGTGCAGTATCTTGTGTCAGTGACAACATCTATGGCTTATATTTTCCTATTGCAGCAGCGCTCAGGTATTTCACAGCCTGAACACAGCTGAAGCTGCGAAACACAATTTTAGGACTTGACGTATCATTTGTCTTGTACTTTGGCTAGAGATATGGTATGCTTCGTGTTTTTTACACTGGCTTTCCGTTACTCTATAGGAGCAAACTGCTCACTTGTGACTTGGACTTGCTTGGGCTTGAACGTCCTTACGTTCCTTCAGAAGCTGAGGCTGGACGTGTAAGGGAAAGCAGATCCTTGATGTCTGTTTACTCTCCCAGTCCAAGTTGGCAGGAGTCAGTTAGGACTGTGCAGAACTTGTTAGCTCTATGTACAAAATACCCCAAGTCTGAACTGATAAGGGGTGTCATGCAGCCAACGATTATTGTCCTTGGAAAAAGGAGAGGAGCAAGAAGTCAGTTGTAGCCCATGCCTAGTGCTGTGTGTAAGCCAAAAGCTTGACAAGAGAACAGTCTTTTCCTAGACTCTGGCTTCTAAAAAATATGAAATCCAGGAATTTTACCCAACCATTCCAAATGAAAGTATTTATTTGTGTTGGGAGATGTCTGAGTTTCAGATAATCCAGGGGAGACCTTAATACATGAAGTGTTCGTGGGGCCTTTGCCGTAAGTGGCTGACAAGAACAGCAGCTTGTGTTATTAGTTCCTGTGCTTAAACATGTAGATATTATGCTGATTAAACACTGTTTGAAGCTGTTGGGTTTTTTAAATTTGCTATGGTCTTACGAAGTTAACTCACAGGTTATTCCCTCCTATCGAAGTGGTCGAGCCCCCATCCCTGGAGGTATTTAAAAACTGGGCAGATGAGGTGCTTAGGGACAGGGTTTAGTGGTGGGATGGCAGGGTTAGGGTAACGGTTGGGCTTGGTGATCTTGAAGGGCTTTTCCAACCTAAACGATTCTATGATTCTATCGGTGTTAAAAGGTACTAGCAAAAGTGTTCCAGAGCAGACGTTCTGTAGTAATTTTAAGCTAAATTTAACTGTTTTACTGTGGTTTAAATTTACAATTTGACTAACCCGCAGTTAGTGTGATTTGGTATAGTTTTCAGCCAGCCTTGTGAATAACATTAGATAATATCTTCTGATTAGACCGGAGGCTTGCTCTAAATACTTGCCATCAAAGAATACATTTAAAACTATTTAGTCATGATTTATCTAAACTGAAACATCACAGGAAAATGTCCAGCTTCTGTAGAAGTCAATGCCAAAACCTTACTTGATTTCGTGGCAGCAAGATGTGGACCGTAGTCATAACAGATACTTAAGTATGTAACATATTTAAAGTACTGTAAGAAATTCTGGGGGATCCCTGTTTTGTTTGAATTAGTCATACTGAGTTCAAGCAGTCTAGATGGTAAAGAACGCTCTGGAATAGAATGTCTTGGACTCTTAAAAAGCCATGTTTGTCACAATATTGTGCAGCAAGCGGGTTCTGTAACGGACAGTTACAGACTCTGGCGTTTCTGTCAAGCTGCATCTCAAATTTTATATTACTATAAATGGCATTATCATATATAGAATGTACAGGTACTTCTGCAGACGTTTGGCAGCTGGGTTAGAAAAACATTACGTGGGAGGAAGCCTTCCTAAAAGAGTTGCAGCTTATCGGAAGAAAAATGTTATTGCTTTAAAATATACAAAATGATAAAAAAGCTTCCAGTTATGGGTACGTGATGGATATCCAGGTGGTAACATATTGACCTTTGGTAATTGGTGCCTCCTTCATTAAATCAGGTAGTTCTGGCTGTGCTAGCAGGAAGATGGCAATGACACAATCTTGAAATGGGTAAAAAAAGTGTTTTGAGTATTATGTTCGTCAGCAGCCACTAAAGGTTTATAGAAGAAACTCTCACAGGCACGTCCAGCTCTTTGCCTAAGGTAACTATTTCTTTGGAGTATCTTTGTATTTGTTTGATAACGCTTAGAAAGAAGGATTTTGCGTAGAGACAATTCAACCAGGGACACACACGAAACAGGTAGTGTTCCCCTGTAGGAAAGCAGCTGCACACCTGCGGCTCTGATCGAGAAATCAAACTTAATTCAACTCCAAAGTTTACCCATCCCAATTTGGAGCCCCTCTTGCAGCACAAGCTGTAAGACCAGAGTGCATGAATTATAAATATAATGACAGGCAAAATGATGGACTGTGGAATAACATGATAGTGTTTAGATTGTGGATGCTCCCCCAAAATGTCTGCTAACATAAACGCCAAGAAACCTACATGCAACTATTTGAATGTGGCTTTATGGGGTCTGTTTCTACCACATAAATCATTTGTTTTGCTTCGCTACTCCCTTCTTCAAATGGCAAAATGGCTGGGAAAAGAGACTTTATAAATTTTTTTTGACTCATCTGGTAGGGACGCAGCACTGGGTGAACATTCGGTTCTGGCATCATGACAAGAACTGGTGCAGCTGCTTTTATTGTCCCCCATCTTTAACTCTTTGAGCAATTTTCTGGACAAAATGTTAGCATTCCAACAGTCCTCCTCCTTTTAGTCCTTGGTTGCAGGGATGTTGAGCAGCACATCTGGAAACCTGCTAGCTGCCCAGGACTACTGTTTAAATAAACTGCAACCACCGCCTCTTGCTTTGGTTGGTCAGAATGGCACATTGCCACAGTAAAACCAAAATCAAAATGTGATGTTTCTAATTAAAAGCTGTGTTCCTGTGGGGTGTGTGGGGTTTTTTGGTTTTTTTTTTAATTATCTATTTACTGATTTAGATAAATAGTTCTGAAAGAAATGAATCAGTGGACTGATTATTATATTTAGTTAGCTGTTCTTTGTATACATCCCTGGCCTGTAGGAAAAACAACCATATGTTTTTTCTTTAGAAAATATGGGTCGCCAACTTATGCATTCTTTCCTTCAAGAATGCAGGAGGGCAACCAAGCAGAGAGGTTATATCCTTCTCAGAAATTCTCTTTTGAGAAAGGCGTTTGGTTCCCTTCAATCCTAATAGCAAATGAAATCTGACAATGTAGTTGTATTGGGGTTTAACGAATTTTAAAGTATTTCCCAATTCAGGGTGGCGAGTAAAGGACCACTGTATTTTCCAGTAATGGTAAGAAAGAGTCTCGAGGGTTAACATTGTGAGAGATTTATGTGACTGGGCTTAGACATTTGTACTCATCCTGTTTTCTTAGCATACGCTGTATTTCTACTTAACAGGCAGTCTACAGTGTGAAAAGATGTCACCTTAAAATAACGGCTTGTATTTTCAAAACAAATTCAGCTATTTTTACATCTTTTCTTATCTTACTTTTTAATCTTGGCGCTGTCAGAACAAAGAAGCAACTCCCAAATTTCCCTTAGAAATGCCCTGTTTTCCATGCTTTCTATGCTATATCCGAATACACACATCGCTCCCAGCGTGGGTGAGCTAAATGAAGCTGCCGTACGCTTACCTTGGTGCTTAGCACTTTACAACATGATTGCTCTCTTCCATGGTCTTGTTTTATGCCACAGCTGTTTCAAAATGAATATTGGTTTCTGTCCCAGCTCCAGCTCCATTTATTTGCTTGCCCTTATGGAAGCCATCCCTCATGTCAGTGCTGTCTACTTGAGTCTAGTTTTACTGGTTTACTATTTTACTAGTTTTCTTATTTTTGCTGTTTTAATACTGCTACTAAAACTATCGGTTTAGCAGTTTTGCATTATTTTTTAAATTATTTCTAAAGCGGGAGAACTGAAATGGCGACACTCATCAGTGAGTTCATAGTGTTGATTTTGTCTTACCATCATCTAAAATCAGGAGAGAAAGAATTGAGAATGGCTTTTTGGAGCTGTGGGAAGCTAATAGCAGGATCTTACCCTTTCTCAGAGCCTAGAAACCGTTAGCACTTTTAAATTTTTCCCTAGAAGACAAAAGCCCAAACAGCTATTTAGGAAGTGGGTTTATGGCAAAGTCAGTCCGAATGTCCCCGAGAGAGTAATTTGTCAAGGAAGCGAGCGTATCCCCATCTATATGATGTGACACATTTACTCCCCAGAGGAGATGAGGGCTTTAGCCCGTCCCTTCAGAGGACCGCCCCATGAGATGTGCAGTCCAGCCCCAGAATACCATATGAGGGATTTGGTCTTCTATTTGGAGTTAAACCTTCGTTATTAGATCACTTTTCTCAAAATAGTTCAGCGAGAGCT